AATATAAAACAACATTAAAAAACAGGAACTCAATAGATTCATAAATATTGTCATTTTGTTGGCACAACTTGGAATAAACGGTTACTCATAGGGTGGACCAGAGACACAACAGCTGTATATATATACATATATATAGAAATGAAAAAAAAAAAAAATAATAAACAAGGAATAGCCCAAATGTATAAGTAAAATCACACTTGCATTCCTCCAAAAATTAACACATGTAACATAAACATAGATGGAGCAAAAGAAGGTCTATAAATTGTAAAAGTGGAGGGCTTTTTAATTCACTAAGCTGATCTATGCATGCGTACACATATATAAGGCGTGCACACTTGTTTGTTTAAAACGAAAAAGGGGGGAGGGGTGTCGGCACAAACGCGCGAACACTCATATGCTTATTTCCACATATGTGTGCGTAACAGGGGACCATTAAAAAAAAATAATAATAAATAACAGTTTGTAGTGTTTTCCTTTATTCTCTCACTTTTTTGAGCCAACGTAGAGCATTCTTCCGTAATGGGCGTGGAAGTGTACACAGATCTGTATGTGCACACATGTTACCACGTTATATATCTGCATAAATGGTTTTGCTTCCTATTGGGGCGCCTCATAAAAATTCTTCAAGTTACATGCTTGCAAATTCAAATGAACGGTTTGTGTACACAGCCGCGTAATACATGCCCGCTTGTGGCAAACATTTTAAAAAATAAATTCACGCTTTAACGTTATTATGGACTGCATAGGATTTGAAAATACAAAGTTAAAAAATAAAAAGTATTTATTCGAGTCATTGACCTTGTCAAAGGATAAGAAGTTGACATGCACGTTCCTGTCTTTGTCGACCTTTACGCTGAACTTTCTGTTGGGGCTGAGGTTGTCGTATATGTACTCGTAGGATCTGAACAAGGGGGGGGAGAAGGCCAACGGTTACATGTAAGGTTATGTACAAATATATGAACATGGATATTGCACAGGCATGTACACACGAACGTGCAGACGTCCTCTCGCGTGCAGTTTTCATCACGCGTTAGGTTAATAGAGAGGGAAGCATTACTTGTCCTTGAAATTAAAAATGGGCGTAAAAACGTTGTTGTTGTACTTGAGGGAGAGGCACAGCGAGCCATCGTAGTCATTTTTGTTGTTGCGCTCGATTATTATCTTGTTGTTAAAGCTTATGTTGTCACCGTATTTATTATAGTATTCGTACAGCTTGCTCTCCAAATTAACAAGTGCCTTTTCATTTTTGAAGTCGTAATTTGCATTCACATAAAAATTGTCAAAGAATTGGAAAAAACTCACCCTTTTTAAAATGTCGATCGTGTTGAACTCCCCCTTGATAATCGTGTTGTATGCATTTGCGTATGCATTTATGTATACCACCTTTGGGAGTTGGTACACAATGTTTGCCCCCACGTTGCTATTTTTTAACACAGGAATATTTACGTCAAGTCCTAATTCGTCTACACAAAAAAAGTTATTTTTATTGAAATTTAAAAAGTTGGTCAAAATTTCTTGATGATCTATTAGGCTGCTGCCACCGGTGCTCCCACCTTTATCCTCCTCCCCCTCTTTACTTTCCTTTTCTTTAACTACAACCTTAACAGGTACATCTTCGCTTTTCTCTTTAATGCTGACATTTGCGTAAACGCTTAATCTATCTTTGTACAACCGCTTCCTAAATTTAGTGTATAAATTTATTTTTTTGATGTTGTCTTTTAAGTACTTATCTGACTTCAAAAGACTCAAGGTGTTGTAAAAGTCTAATATATCTTTTTTTATTTTATTTGAGCTTAACGTATATTTTTGGCTTCCTATTTGTAAATTTATACATGATACATTATTCAACAGAAAAAAAACGACAAAACAGAAATATGCTATGGACATATTTGCAATTGTGTATGACATCAAGGATTGTGCAGGTTTTCAAAAAAAAAAAAAAAAAAGGGAAGTTCTTACAAATATTTTCTTTCTTATTTATTTTTGTTTTTTTTTTTGTTTTCCCCCGTTTCTTAGCCTTTATTTTCCACTTTCGCTTGTTTCATAACATATGGTTTACGTTCTTCCTCTTTTCGAAATACACTTCATAAATACTCATCTAGAACAAACAGAAGAGTTCTTTTGTGTACGTTTTTTTTTTTTGTTTCCCTTTTTTATCATTATACATAGTGCTTCTTAATCACATTATATGAAAAAAAGAGGGAAGAATGAGGCAGGAAAAAAAAAAAAAATTGTACAAAAGAGAATGCAAAAAATAAAATTGTATAAATGAACTTGTTCTTGTAAGGGAAAAATGAAATATTGCTTACTTAATCGACTAACAAAATGAAAATCTAAAACATTGTAAAAAGGTTAAAATTGTACGTTCTCGTTTTCATACATTTTGTACGCGTGTAAGGAATGAACTGCGATGAGAAATATGCTGCCCTCGTTATGTGTATACGTGCTGTGTAAGATATGCACACTGGCATGTATATATTCTCATGTATGTGCCTTATTTGTGCCTGCTAGTGTTTCCATCGATGAATTGCAAAAATCTGCGCACCTTAAGCATATCAGCATGTGAGCATTGTCAGCCTTTTTTTTAATTAGCTTAGCTTTTTTACTTGAGAATTTTTTTTGTTTTTATCCTTCCAGGAAGGAAGTGCTGAAAAGGCAATATGAACAGAACTGACAAAATATATATTACATGTTCAAGCGTATCACCATTAATGGTGTGGCAAGATCCTGTGCATATCTGCGTTCTTATGTGCGCATGCCATGAGTGCGCCGTTTGTTTGCGCCATTTCGTTTCACTTCACTCCATTGCGTATCATTCCGTTTCCTTTTTACACTTTTTTACGCCCCTTACACATATGTTATGTGAGAGCATAACGAAACAGTTAAGTCAAAGCAACTGGGGAATAATTGGCTTTTTTTTTTTTTTTTTTTTTGTGCCTTAAATTTTTGATTTTCACAAAATGTGCGAAATTTTTACCTTTGCACGGAAACCAATCACTAAGATGGCTAATTATGTATTCGTTCAAATATACTCATATGTGTGTATACACACAATGCCCATGCGTAAAATGGTTGATAATGATAGCCCCCCGTGTAGACGGAACAGTGGCTCTATGTACAGAAAGACGATTATTCCTCGGGGGTATTATTATAAGTACATACACACCCCGCAAATTGATAGGGGTTTCTAAATCGAGGATGTAAAAACCTGAAATGTTTCAAAAATAATTTAAGGTCGTCCATTTCTTCCCTTTCCCAACCGACAATTAGGTTGCTTTCCTCCCTCCTCACACCCATTTAATGGTAAACACAAAATTGATCATAAAATGGCAAATTGTTCCAAGAAGTGATTAATGTGTTGATGTGAAGCTATTTACATAAAGAGGTTTACCCACCGGACGTGACTGAATATATTTTTAAACCGCGCGTTGCTAACAGTTGGTCTATGTCAGTGGGGTGCGTCCCTATACACGTGTGCTCATTTATGTGTAAAGAAGTGAACATTCCTATGAATACACTTTTTCTTCATGGGCAGGGAATTACCAAAAAGGGGGGAGCAAATGAAGAAAGAGGCACATACACACACAGCGAACTCAGCAAAATGTTTTTTTATGGTTTTGTTTTCCGAAAAATGTGAAAAAAGGAAATAAATATCAACACTTGTGGAATGATATAACTTCCCCTTTCTTTACGCAATGAGATGTTTCCACAGTGTTAACTGTGTGCGGAACAATGTTCCCCTTGTATAATCTCCTCCACCAAAACGAACGCATAATAATTTGAAACACTGCGAGGTATATGTTACGACGCAACATGTAACTCGTATGATAATTCGTTCACCAGGCAACATAACTTACATGTCCAGTCGTATCATACGTCAAAATTACAACTTGAAAAGTCTTATAAAGGTAAAAAAAAAAAAAAAAATGCATAATACTGTCGTATGAAGAAAAAGGCACAAAAATGTGGAACAGCAATATTGTACGTTGAAGTACATGTTTGTTTAGTGCAATTCGATCTCGCTTGCACGTTTTGCTCTTTATTTTAAATTTCATTTTGAACAATTTATTTTTTTAAACGTACCGTACTTTGCACCTATCCCAAACCAGACGCAACTATCATGCAGACGTACGTGGTGGCGATTTTAATTTTTTTCTCCCTTTGCGGCGCGGAAAATTTTAGTTGTGTATACGCGCTGCAAAAATAATGACAGCAAAGGTGACAAAAAAGGAAACTCACAAAACGCTAATGAGGAGTGCATTCACCCAAAGGGAGCAACTAAACAATGTTCATTCCCGTTGCCCTTTTGAACGCACGCAAAAGTGAAAAAAAAAAAAAAAAAAATTCACTCGATTGCCCACTTCATTCCTTTTTTGTCTAATTGTGCATAGACATGTGGGTACGTACACACGTATATAAGCATCTGCACACATGTGTATATGCCTATATATGCGTGTACATCAACCCTTACACGGGGCAAAATGTGCAATGAAGCCATGTTGTGCCTTTGTGCCCCTACATTTCCGCCTCTAAGCGCAACGCGCGTCCCTTTATAATGCTTTACGTTGTAAAATTATAGCTCCCCTTATTTTGCCGCTTCTCTCACCTGTGTTATCTACCTCCGCGTGCATGTGCAAATGTGCATGTATTGGAGGGTGCTCCAGTGTCCACACACATGCATTCGGACATATGCCTGTGTATCTGTGCCCATTTTATGCACACCACAAACAGTAGCCTTCGACATTTAGTTACGAAAGGCACTGACCATAGAGGGTAGAAATGTCATTTGTCCGACTGCAAATGAATTGTCTGCATAATTAAGGAGTAGGAGTATTACCAGAAAATTTCACTTCTGGACTATCTATTTCTTTCTGTAGCCGTACACTTTTTTTTTTTTTTTTCGCTTTTTCTCCCCTTAATGAGGCTCCCTTTGTGCTAAACCAGGAGAGATAACTTATTTTATTTTTTTTTTTGTTTTTCCCATTACGTCTTTAAAAATTATGTTTAACTATGAAAGTATACTCATTAACGAAGATGCTGTTTCAGGTTAGGAAGGAACAAAGAAGTGTGCCTTTCATCACATTTTTTTTTTTTTTTTTGTCCTATTTTAATGGTTCCCCGTTAAATTCCTTTTTTTTTTTTTTTTTTGTACTATTCATTTATCTGTAGGAATGACCATAGAAGATGTAAAAAGGCTAAAGCCGTACTGGAATGTGCAAATAGCTAATTTTAAGGAAAGGTGAGAAATGTCCACAAGGGCAGTTATAAAAGGGGCTACTCACAAAACACATCCGATCATATGTATATGCAATATGCCTCCTGAAAGGGCATGTCCATGAGTCTACATGTATATACACATATTTGTGTAATTCATTTTTTTTTTTGTGTGTCCTCTCAGCCCGAACGAACCCGTTTTCACGTTATTGCAAATGGCAATCCTTCTGAACAAGAAGACCATCGTTGGGTACTTGCTGGCTAGGCGCGGGTTGGATATTAATGCCCTCAGTAGGAACAACCAGACCGCTCTCATGATTGCTTGTGAGAAGAAGGTGGGAAAAGCACACACGTGCATCTTTGCATATGGAGTAGTTGTCCACATGTACAATTGCATATCTGCGTTCCTGTATAGTGTGTAGGGGGCGGCTAAATATCTGCGGACGCGGTCTAACACAGATGACGTATATGTTCTTTTCATTTTCTCAAGGTCCCACTGGACTGGATTGAGGCCATATTAAAAAAGGGCGGAGATCTGGGAATAAATATAAAAGACGATTTTGATGAAACCGCACTGGACAAATGTGTCTATAACTCGCAAGGTGCGCAACAAATTAGGGAGCCAGTTATAACACTTTTATACATATAACCCCACCTTTTTATGCTCTCACTTCTACATACCACACGGTTTTATTTCCCCCTCGGATGTACCAACAAACCATCCAGTTGCACTTAAACATTACACCTATTTTATCCCCACGTACGATGATTTCCTCTTCAAATTTCCCCCCTTTTAGTCTATCAATTGCTTCTGAAGTATGGAGCCATAGAAAATGTAAATCAATTAAGAGAAACACATGAAATGTGTTTTTACCAAAGATAAAAAAAAAAAGAAAAAAAGAGCGGCGTATAGCAAAATGACTGTTTCACCATTTTATGCCCTCCAGTACACTTTTGCCTCGTTCTTTTGGCTTAATTTTTTTTTTTTTTTTTTTTTTTTTTCCTCCTCCCTTTTAAACGTGAAGAAGAATGGCATGCGGATGAAAGACGAGATGGTATTATCAGACCTGTTTAAGCTCGAAATGGCTTTATGCAGATACCTAATGGAAAAAATGAGGGGGCGACCCCAAACTTCCCATATGTATACACACACATACTCGCTGCGCCCTTTGTACATATGTCCATGGAAACCCTTTTCATATGTACATATTCATATGTTCTTTATTCATGCAGGCTAAGCAATCGAAGTACGGTGAAAATTTATGGCTCAATGTGTGTGGATGCGGAACAAGATATTACAAATAGATATTTTTAGATTGGTACAAGCAAAACACGAGTTGCTCATTTTGTAAGAATTAAGTTAATACGGGATTGGGTTAAATGTGGAATTGAGTATGGGCACTTTTATCACGCCCCCTTTTATGGCGCGTACTTCCACCCCCTGTTGCACGTAGGAGATGCCCATATAAGTTGCCGTACACATTGATTATCGTGTTCCCCCCTTTTTTGTTACCTTATTTTATTCGCCCCCTTTTGATGATAATTTGTGTTTAATATATTACCACCAGTTAAGAGACTTTCGAATGAATTCGTCATTATTTATTTATTTTTTTTTCCCCCCTTTTTTTTTCATTCCGTCTTCCTGTTTGTATTCCCAGTGTCGATATGTTTATACGAAGAATGGTAACAATGGGACTGTCCGTATTTGTGTTACAAGTTTTTAAGCCTACTTGGTAATTTTTTTAAAGTTGTTATTACGCTTTGCGCGGTTGCTCGGTTCGCTAGTGTGTATCTACATGCGCGTTGTGTGTTCGTACATCAGCTCTCATGGGTGTACTCCCCCTCCTTTGCGCACATAATTTTTATGAAAATTAATTCTTAAAGCGTTCGCGCGGATTCGTGGGGAATTACATTCGTTAATTTAGTGCTGAGAATACGAGTAAATGTTTTTTTTTTCTTTTTTTTGTTATTTTTTTTCCAGTTAGGTTTTTTTCCCTTTTATTTTACACCAGTTTATTAATTTTCTGCCCGCCATTGGCTATACCTACAATATGCATCCGTAACTCACGAATCACGTTGCCACCTTCCCCCCTGTGGCCCAATGCACACAGATGGGAAAATGCATAATATTTCTGTAACAATGAAAAAGTGATGCTCTGTTTTTAGCAACGTGAAAAAAAAACATATGCCCATATGTATACATATACGTGATTTCACATGTAATTATGTGTACACGTGGTATTGATGCCCGCGGCATGCCAAATGAATGCCGCAGAAACAGATTAAATTCCTTTTATGCTGGATTTTTTTTTTTTCTTTGGTTCTCCAATTTTGCCGCCAAAACGGGAAGGCAAAGTAACGGATCACGCACGTATAGGAGAAGCAACAAGAGTATACATGTTTGTAAAAGCATGTAGGCACGCAAAACACGTTTGATGATACATGGCAAGGCGAATGTATAAGCAAATATATTGTAATGTATGCTTAAATAATCCTATATTGGGCACATATATACATATGCGCATGCGCAACGTACTGTTCAAGGGAAAAGGAAAATTACGCGTATCGCATTGCGCATAAAAAAAAAAAAAAAAAAAAAAAAAAAAAAAAAAAACAAAACCCAAAAAAAAAAAAAAAAAAAAAAAAAAAAAAGTAAAACGAACCACTATCCGTTAAACAAACAATAGAAAACGGAAAAAAACAAAATGGCCAAGTGCCTCAACATTTCTGAAAAAATAAATACGAAATTGTCGTTCGTTTTTGTCAAACATATTTATGAATGACAAATTAAGGAAGGTGTTATAATTTAAAAAAAAAAAGCGGAAATGAATTAAAATTTGTCTGTAAAGCGTAAAATTTGGCTTGATGTTTTCAAGTGAGATATATGTACCCGTAAAATAAGAACATTACGAGGGAATGAGAAGGTATGCGCGCATACGAGGTTTAAACTTACGTGCTTATATACACGTACATATTAAACAATAAAGAAGAAGAAAAAAAAAAAGCGGCTTTTAAAAAGTATACCCATATCCCCGACCCCCACAAGTTTCCCTTATGTACTCGTTAATTACTGCGCGTTCGTCCCCGCGACATAAATTAACTTATGATTTTATGTGGAAACCTCCGCATGCGTATGAACGCATGGACAGAGGGGCCCTATAACATGTGTACAACTGGATATATTTGCCTACGCGCAAGGTGGCGTACGCTCGAAGCGGGGTTGCGAAAGTGGACGCGCTGATTATATATACATATAAAACGTGGATGCTTACGTAGGCATATAAACTAGCGGAGTCTTCTGCAACACACGAAATCGCACTTCCCCGGTTCCCACTGAAACACGCTTCACCGCCGTATCGCCAAACATGATGTAACAATGGGGGCACTCTTTCAGCCGATAAACCAAGTGAAGTTCACAAATGTTGCTATAGTGAAGTATAAACACAAGGGAAAAAAGTTCGAAATTGCCTGTTACAAGAACAAAATAATTGACTGGAGAAATGGTAAGCCGTGCCTTCAAGACGGGGATGAATATGAAAAGGAAAGAGAGAAAAGGCTTCCCTATACTCACACAATGTATATTTTTATGGACGGACGTACTTGCACCAGCTTTACATTCCCCTTTTATCCCACGCACATCGTTCTTACTTCCCACCCCTCCCCGAAGGAATCGAGCTCAACATAGACGATGTGCTGCAGTCACACTTAATTTTTACTAACATATCGAAGGGAGAAATAGCCAAGAAGTCGGAACTGAATTCTTGCTTCAACTCGGACAACAACTATGAAATATGCAAAACGATTTTAGAGAAAGGTAAGAAGGGCAGGGCCTGTCCTCCATATTCGCTTTTGCATTTGAATAACGGTACCCCGTGGGGGCCCCTCCGAAGGTTACTCCCCCTCAAAAAAAAAAAAAAAAAATTTTTTTCCCTTCCTTTATAGGCACACTACAAATTAGCAACAAAGAGAGGTCGATTATGAAGGAGAAAATTTACAAAGACATGATTGAGATTCTGCACGAAATGAGTGTGAACCCCCAGACGGGTTATCCTCTCTCAACCAACATGATAGAAAGTAAGTCCATGCAGGGGAATGCATGTGCACATATATAAATATATATACATATATACATGTATATATATGTACATGTAGACATGTGGGAGGCACTGCTAAGCTCCCCTCCCCCACTAGCATACACACCATGTTAATTCAACACCCCCTCTGCCAAATGTGCCCCCACCACCACAGGCATGGTTAAAAATATTGGTTACAGCATAAACATAGACGACAGCGCAAAGAAGCAAGCGTTAAAAGTTTTTGACATTTTAAGTAAAGAATATGATGATGTTATTCAACGGGCATTCATGAGAATCCAAATCATTTGTGATGATTGTATAAAAGAGGACGTTATAAAATTTCTTAATAGTAACAATGTTATTATAGAAGAACAAAAATTAACCAACAACGTTAAGAGAGAAGACAATGTAGATGCGGAAAGTAGTCACCTGCGTGATGAATGTGCCCACTTACGTAAAAATGAGGTAGAAGAAAATGAAAAAGACGCGGTCAGCGAACCAGCGAAGAAAGAATTTGGAGAAAATGAAAAAATGTTGAGGGTTCCAGTTGCTGCGGATAGTGCAGGCAATAGCGTCATGGGGAAAGATGAAGAGGAGGAGAATTACAGCCACAAAAACGTTGCTGATCAAAATGCAAGCAATAAAGAACACTGTAGTAACAATGCAGGTAGCACCCACCTGAGCAGCGATCACAAAGATGCCCCTGTAGAGGACAGTTCACCACCCAAGTCGAATGAAGGGGCACAGGAGGATGACGCGGAATATGAGACAAGTCACGGAACTAACAAAAATTACACGAATGAAAAGGAAAAGAGTGAAAGTATTTCGAAAAAAGAAATAAACCATCTGTTACACAGCACCTCCAATGAGGAGGAAAGAAAAAACACAACAGGTGAAATATCACGACAGAAGGATGAAAAGACAGAGGTCGATCCCCTTAGCGATGACGTTAAAGTAAAAACGAAACAAAAAAAGAATAAACACGAAAAAGAAAGGAAGGAAAAAAATGCGGAAATGCATAAAATTGTATTTTTATGCTACCCGTGTGTATATAGATGTGTAGATGCCTTTACCAAAAAATATAAGAAGAGCTGTTCCAGCAAAATTTTGAATAATAACGTTAAGATAGCCACCTCCAATAAGAAGAAGAAGAACAATGTGGAAAATTCAGTGACTAGTGCGAAGGTGGATACGAATGACACAATGGCAAGGACAGCTAAAGGCAAGGATGACCGACAAATGGGGGGCGACAACCTAAACGATGGTATAAGCAACAAGGGCAGTCGTAACAGAGGCAACGCCAAAGGCAACAGTCGCCGACAGGCAGAAGCCAATCACGACGCTGCAAATGCGAATAACTCCGTGGACGTGAGCCGTGACCACCCCCAGCAGGCCAACAAGAGCACTAATAGGAACGATGAGGAAAAGGCTATGGATGACAACCAAAACAGCGCCAATAGCATCAAACACGAAGACGCTCCAAACACGGAACAAGAGAAAAGCAAGGAAGAACCAAGTGACAAGCCAAACAGCGAAGCCGTAATCATGTGCACAAGTTGCTTGACGAAAATTGAAAAAAGCAACTACAAGCTGCACTGCAGAAGTGACTTTCATGTGTATAATGTCAAGAGGAAGTATAAAAAGCTCTCCCCCATAACGCTGGAGGAATACGTCGAAATCGATTTTGATGTGGCACACTTTCATGTTGATATGTGAATTGTGTCACTGGGAACAGCAAATTGAAAAGCACCGGCTTTTTTTTTTTTTTTTTTTTTTTT